GTTTTAAATAATTTCAAATATACTTCTATTCATTCCAAATAAAATTCATACTACTTAAATTCGAACATTTCGTACCAAAAATAAATCACCCACTTTATACCACAAAAATCAGACATTTATTATCAACAACACATTTTCATGAAAAATAAAAATGGCTATCATATACTTAAAATGAAATCATCAACTTTATACCAAGATAGAATTTATTAATTTTGTCAACTTTATACCATAAATTAATTAAGTATTTTCTAAAAGTCATTTCTACATTTTGTCCAAAATATTTTTTAGCGGCACATACATGTTATTTATATTTTTGTATTTGGTTATCTTGTCTACGAAGAAAAAAGATAATCTTGCAACTCTACTATGCCAAAAAAAGATGTATGAAAAATAACATGAGTATTAATTTATTATGTTCTACTCAATACATGAAATATAATATAGATATAAAGATTAACGATTAATTCTCTATAATTGCTCAATCAAGTCTATATATTTAAACTAAGGATTTCGAAAGTTTCTATAATACTCCATATTTGTTTCCATAAAACTAAATCATCCTAAATTTAAATTCAACTAATAAAGGTAATAATCATAAATATTTTACTAAAAAGATTATATACATTAATTACATTGATTTTTGTTAATTTACTATTTTTAGACAATAATTAATGAAATTGGCGGGAAAATATTTCTAAAAGTGAATTATGTTAATCCTTATTATATATTAATAGATTATGAGCATCTTTATATGATTAGCTTCATTATTAATTACCCTAGATATTGTGGATTAAATAAACAAAAAACTAACATATCGAGCTAGTTTAGATATGACTAGTCGAGATTATGAGTTTAAATAGACGAGAATATACGGACCTCATATGAGGCCATGTGACACTTATATAAGTAAATTAATTTAATGAACTAATCTCTATTTATTTAGTAAAATAATTAAACCGTTAACGTTAATGATATCTATAATTGGCTTGAGGCCGAAAGGCAATTTGCCAGAAGTTATTAGTTACATGCTAGCTCTTGGTTCTCTCTACCCAAATTGAAAAGGAACAAGTAAATTATATCGAAACAATGGGTGGTAGAGTATAGAGTACGCAGCTTATGTTAGAACACAGAAATTCTGGATTACTAAACCGTGTTGCAACACAAGAAAATAAAACTTAAAAGCAGAAGCAATATAAATAAAATTTTTCTTCGTGGAGCATCTCATTACCCCTCAGAGCTCTTTCATTGATAAACTGGTTTTGCGTCCCACAAAATACAGCTTGGACTTAATCGACTCGAACTCCCGCCTAGTCTAGCCAACACTATACCTGATACTATCAACTACTTCCCTGGCTACGTCCCGTGGACTTTACACACTCGAATCCCTCGAGCAAACTCAGTACTTAACCCTAAGCACTAAAATAAAGTGTTTGCAAATGAAAAGAAACAATCTGAAAAACTGGATCGAATAAAAATAAAAATAATAGAAATCTGTCAAACACTCAATTGAAGCTGATGAATGATGAACTCGATTTGCAGCAGCTCTCTTGTCTTTAATTGATTGTTTGAGTAGGCTTATATACAATCTCCTTAAGGTAAGAAGTTTTCACAAGTTCTTCATTTTCCTTTTAGGAGTCAATTTCCTTCTCAATTGATGGTTTTCTGATTTGGACGGAATTTCATGTAAAGTAAGTTTATTTGATGTGGAATTCGTCTATGTGATTTGGAAATCTTCATAATTGAGCTTCATTTGGAAATCTTGTGTTCCATAATCGTGTAAGAGCATGACTTTCCAAAAATAGCCGATCTTCCAAATCTTCAAAGATCTTGTGGTGAATCTTTCCAAATCCTCCTTATATCTTCTCATGAACGTCCAATATTCCTTATGCGTGAATTGCTCATCCTTACATAGTTCTTGCCACTTATTCTTTTTCTACAAGAGAGATAAAACAAATTATGACGTGCGGCATATATGGTAAGTAATATATAAGATATATGTTATGTAATCCTTCTCATAAAGGGTTAGGATTCCATAATGCATATTATAATAAATATATACCTTATATTATTAATAATAAATATAGGAACTTAAATGATTCACAAGTAAATAAATAGAAAACTTCCCTTTAATTTATTTTGCTTGCTTAACAAGAAATCTTTTAGAAAGCACTTAGGTTTGCCGGATGATGTCAAACCAATATTCTTACATATATTATAGGTATATTACTTTTCAGATGATGAGATGATAATTAAAGACCTAGCTATTGATGATAATAATTTTCTACACTGTCTATCTTCCTATATATACATGTTATCAAAACAATCAATAATCATTTGTTTTCCCTCCAAAAGACGTTGCAAAGACATGTTTACTTTATTATTTTTTCTTTTAATTTATTTTCTTTTAATTAAAACTTTAAACAACTTACTAATCAATGAATATTTGATATATATATATATATATAATTGTTAACAAAAAGTTTAACTAAATTATTTGTTAATAGTTGTACGGCCTGGTGTACAGTGCTTAGTCAATTGAAAACACTAAGTTTTCAGAAATCGTTTGAAAATTTTCAAAAATATTTTTCATTTTGAAACACTTTTCGGGCATTACTCCAAACTCTTTCTTTTGTTTTCTTTGCTTAAGTCACCCCTTAAGTCCTTATGGAATTCATTTTCCCAGCTTTCGTTTCAAATTCTAATAAAAACGAGACAAATAAAATCCTCATTCATAAACAGTCTCGGAACACTAGTCATAACCATAGTTCGATATCCATATAAATCCCAAAACAACATAAGTTCGGAAAACGTCTTGTGGGAAGCAGTTAAAATACATAACATAAACAAAAACCACACTCGTTTCGGTGGTCTAGTTGGCGAAAGCAAACGTCAACAAGCCCCTAATCAAAATCTCGGTACCGCCTCGATTGATGATCTCTATCGACACAATGTCAATTCAAGTTTAATCAGTTCATCCAAGAATCTTAATCCGAGCTAACGGTGCACCTTTCCGGCTTCCAATCGAGCTCCTAGTATGTTAAACTGAATTGTTACCCGCTTCATCTCTTCAAACCAAGCTAAGTCGACTAGTTTTTATATCACATTAGACTAATTAATACAAACATGTGCATCGTGAGTATATTATAACTAGAGTTGTAAAAGAGCTGACCCGAGCTCGAGCTCTTAACGAGCCAAAACTCGAGCTCTAGCTCGAGCTCGGCTTGTCAAGGCCTCGAGCTCGAACCTTAACGAGCCGATCTCGAGCTTTAACGAGTTGAACTATAAAAAATATATTTAAAAATTCGATTTTTGAGTCTTATCGAGCCGAATCAATCGAGCTTTAAATGAGCTCGACTCGTTAAGGCCTCGAACTCGAGCCAAGTTTGAGCCTTAACCAGCCGAGCCGAGCTAGGCTTGTTTAATTTAACAACATTAATTATAACTAGCTAGGAAAACCCAACGTCAGGTAGATTGCTTATCGATAATATGTATTTTTATTGCATAAATACGAAATTGGGACATTGTGTATAAACTGGAGTAATACTTTTCAGACCAATTCTATATTTTGTTTGATTTTCTAAATCCCATGCCTTATTATATCGTGGACAGGGACAAAAGAGGCCAAGTTGATTTGCTCAATGCATATTCGAGGGAGGAAGACAGCTGATTGTCAGTATGTTGTGTTTTCACATGGCAAATTGCTCCTCTTAATCTCAATCACTACAAACAATTTCCAATCTCACAACTCCCTAGTACATATTTCGGTTAAAACGGCAAAAAGTTTGGTTAAAACGACAAAAAAGTTGTAAGGTCGTGATATTACCGACAATTAGACCTAACTAATAATAATCATATTAATGGTGATAAGATTTTTTTTTTTGTAGCTCAATTCATGAAAAGCAGAGGCGAGTAAAAGCTTATGCCATACAGCTATACTCCCTTGTTATAGTAAATATAAATCATAGATGCAAAGAAGAAAATTTTGATGGGTTTTCTCACTTTACTTTTGTCTTTGCTCATAAACAAGAAAAAAGTGAAATTATGGGGGCGAAAGTCGTTCGTTTGCTTGTTCTTGCAAGCCTTGAGTTATTGAAGTTTCCTCTGCCTTTACCTGTGCTTAAGTTTTGGTTTTTTTTTTTTTTTT